CATTTTTTAATTGGATTGTTTGTCTTCCTGGAGTGGAGTCGTGTGAGTTCATTACATATTCTGGAGATCGAACCCTTGTCCAAGGTATCATTGGCAAATATATTTTCCCATACCGTTGGTTCCCTTTTCATTTTGCTGATGTTTTCTTTAGCCATGCGGAAGCTTCCTATTTTGATGAAGTGCCATTTGTTCATTCTTTCCTTTACATCCCTTGCTCTAGGGGACATATCAGTGAAACTATTGCTGCGTGGAATGTCTGAGAGTTTCCTGCCTATGTTCTGCTCTAGGACTTTTATGGTGTCGCGACTTATATTTAAGTCTTTTATCCATCTTGAGTTTATTTTTGTGTATGGTGTCAGTTGGTGGCCAGATTTCAATTTTTTGTATGTAGCTGTCCAAACCTCCCAACACCATTTGTTGACAAGGCTCTTCGTACTCCATTTTCTGCTTCTGCCCCCTTTGTCAAATATTAATTGACCATAGAGTCATGGATTTATTTCTGGGCTCTCTATTCTGTTCCATTGATCTATGGGTCTGTTCTTATGCCAGTACTAGACTATTTTGATGACAGTGAACTTGTAATATAGTTTGATGTCAGGTATTGTGATCCCTCCTACTTTGTTCTTCTTCCTCAAAATTGCTGCAGCTATTTGGGGTCGTTTATGATTCCATATAAATTTTTGAAATGTTTGTTCTATATGTGTAAAATATGTCATTGGTATTTTAATGGGGATTGTGTTGAATCTATAAAGTGCTTTGGGTAGTATGGACATTTTGATAATGTTAATTCTTCCAATCCATGAACACAGTCTATGCTACCATTTATTTGTGTCTTCCTTAATTTTTTTCTTCAGTGTTGTGTAATTTTCTGAGCACAGGTCTTTTACCTCCTTGGTTAGGTTTATTCCTAGGTACTTTTTCTTGTTGCTATAGCAAATGGGATATTTTTCCTGATTTCTTATTCTGATAGTTCATTGTTGGTGTGCAAAAATGCCTCCAATTTCTGGATATTGACTTTGTACCCCACTGTTTTGCAAAACTCACTTATTAGGTTGAGTAGTTTTTTGGTGGAGTCTATAGGGTTTTCAATGTACACTATCATGTCATCTGCAAACACTGACAGTTTTACTTCCTCCTTTCCCCAGCTACTCTCTCAGTTCTCTCCCCAAAGCCCCCTTCCCCAGTGTCTCCTCAAGCGTCTCTAGCCCATTCTGCTCCTGCCTTTGCTGGAGCCCAGGGTAAGTGGCTGCAAATAAAAATTTATGTGTTGGCTGTTTGTTTATTTATTTATTTAGGTAGGAGTTCCTTATTTCTTTCTTTTTTTAAATGCATATTGATTTCATTTATTTATTTGCTTTAAATGTCAAAATCCATTATAAAATATTTTAAAAATTAAATCCATTATAAAGTCTCAGCAATTAAAACAACATGACACCAGCACAGAAATAATCAAGTAGATCAATGAAATATAATGAGCATTCTAGAAACAAACATATGTGTCTAATAATGTAATATATGATTAAACTGATATTTCAAATCAACAGGGAAAATAAGGCTTATTCAACAAATGAGGTGTATGGACCACTATTACTTGAAATAAAACTAATATAGATCCCTATTTCACACATTGTACAAAAAATATTCAGGAGAGTTAAAAATCGATATGTGAAATCTAAGGAGTTTCAGGAGAAAATATGAAATAATATTTTTCTTACCCTGAAGTAAATATTCAAACCCAGAAGTTATAAAGTAAAATATTGACAATATGACTGTATTAAACATTTACAACTATACAGTAATATACATATAAAAAAAGTTAAAGAACAAGTAATAGAATAGGAAAGTATTTGCAACACATCTAAAAAAGGGATAATAGTTTTTTGGTTTTTTGTTTGTTTTGTTTTAGGGAAAAAAATTCTACAAACATTTAATCAAAAAATGGATAAAGAATACCAAAAAGTCATTTAAAGCTTTTTAAAAATAATATAAGAAGGCAAGAAATAGACAAAAACAGGTTTAGTTTCAGCGAATAATAAAGTAACACTTAAAGTAACACTACATTGTCACAATCAGGTTAATCAGTATTAAAAATATTGGTAATATCAAGTATTGGTGACTGTGAGAGGAACTGGGTATTCATAGACTCTTTTTCTTTATCTTCTTAAAGCAGTCCCTTTAGCATATTTTACAATGCTGGTTTGGAGGAGGTGTATTCTTTTAGTCTTCTTTTGTCTGGGAAACTCCTTATTTCGCCTTTTATTTCCATTGAGAGCCTTGCTGGGTAGAGCAGTCTTGGTTTCAGGCCTTTGTTTTTCATTACTTGGAATATTTTTTGCCATTCCCTTCTGGCTTATAGGGTTTCTGTTGAGAAGTCAGCTGCTAGCCATATTGGGGCTGCATTATAAGTTACTACCCCTTTCTCCCTTGCTGCCTTTAGGATTCTCTGTTTGTTTATGATTATTTGTCATTTTAATGATGATATGTCCTTGGAGTGGGCCTCCTTGGGTTCCTCTTGAATGGGACCCTCTGTGCTTCCTGGACCTGTGTGACTTTTTCTCTCCTCCAATTAGGGAAGTTTTCCATCATGACTTTTTCAAACAGGTTCTCTCTCCCTTCCTCCTCTTCTTCTTATTCTGGTATCCATATTATACGGGTATTATTACATTTCAGGTTGTCCTGCATTTCCCTCAACACCTCTTCATTCTTTTTGAGTCTTTTTTCATTTTCTTGCTCTTTCTGGGAGCTTTTTTCTACCTTGTCCTCCAGCTCGCTGATTCGGTCCTCAGCTTCGTCTATCCTGCTTTTGATTCTTTCTACTGTGTTCTTCAATTCAGAAATTGTATTCTTGATTTCCTCTTGTCTCATATTGATACTTTCTATGTCCTTTTTCATGCTGATATAGTTTGCAGTAAGTTCCTCGTAGTTTCCTTGTAGTTTTTGGTAATTCTCTCTGAGCTCACGGAGAGAATAACTCTTGTTTGGAACTCAATATCTGATAGTTTAGTTGCCTCTCTTTCATTTAGTTCTCTTTCTGAGGATTCCTCCTTTCCCTCCAACTAGGGGTATTTCTTTGTCTTCCCATTATTTGCGAGACTCTTTGTTTTTGCTTCTGCTTCTTAAATTGATCTGTCTTGATTTCCTAACTTTGTGGTGTGAACTTCTATCTGTGTTGGATAGACAGGTTTAAAAGGCTCTTTGGGTCTCCAGCTGCCTGTGTCTGGCAGAGAGCAACCCTGCCGCTTTTTACAGCTGATTTTTATCTGTGTACCTTTTGGACTCTGGTGCTGCAGGCTGGAGATCCCCACTTATGGTTTAGACCCTGCTCTTCTCAGGGGATCTAAATGGCCGTTTTAATATCCTTCTGGTGCTGCCACCTGTGGGCGCCTCGCCCGCCTTCTCAAGTCTCCACCACACTCCTTACCACTCAGGTTGTGCTAAAGCTGATTCTTCTGTCTTTCTGAGGTTATAAGGATCCTCTCTTGCTATTGTTCAGTTGTTTTTTCCAGGTGATTTCTCCACAATTTAGTTGTAATTCCAGCTTGGTCCTGGGAGGAGGTCAGTGTGGCTTCCATTCACTCCTCCGCCATCTTAAGGTCTCTCAAGAAACATTAGTTTCTGATAATCTAAGCAGGGATTATCAATATGAAAAGAAATAATCAGGGTTTTCTAATTGTGTGGCATGAGGGTGACAATTAAAGACTTAATCCAATGTTTCGTATCTACAGTATACCTAAAAATCACCCAGAATGTTTTGGAAAATGTAGATTCCTAGCCCTGTTCCCAGTAATTCTGATTCAGTAGATCAAGGGTAAGGCCTAGTAGTCTGCATTTTAAGCAAGTGATTCTAATTCAGGCCTATTACATAACATGTTTTCAGAAATACTGAACCTGACAAGAAGAAGTTGGCCATTAAAATGATACAGTTCCAAGAATAGGAGTTTTCCCCAATAACTATCTTCTGTGGGACTAAGGGGGACAACAAGCTAGAAAAATTCTCCAAGGACAGACCCACAGGTGAGAGTAGATAGATTGGTTGATTAAGGAATGATAGCAGGGAAGGGAATCTTTGCTACCCTAGTAGAGTCTGGACTTTGGACTGGTACTGATTGCTATATGGTATTTCCTTTTCCTTTTCTCTAGTGTCAGTTTCAGTTATCAGGTTTTCCTTACACTATTGTGCAGGTAAATTGGAGATCAGTTAAATGGATCATTTAGTCATAATTTGCCTAACTATGATGGCTGTATCACTTAAAAAGTACAGCTAAAAGTAATTGGAAATCCACCTAAGCTTATGTAAGCAAACTTTTTTTTTCCACAGTGGGATGTGTTTTACTGAGATGCGTTGGAAGACCACAGGGAGCAGGGGATGCGCAGCGGGGAGCTTTCCAGGAGCGGCAACAGGATGGAGGCCTCGGGAATCCCGCAGCCGGTGGCTCAACGCCCCCAGCCGCCCCAGAGAGCCCTCCGGACTGTAACTCAGATACAACAAGCTTGGGCGGGGGGGTGGGGGGACCTTCCACGACACTGAAATGCAGCAGAGACAGAGGCACCGAAGGCCCCTCTTCCGTAGGGACCCCACACTGAGGCACGCGTACATGAACAGAGATACACAGGAGCGAGAAACCTTGAAATCGTACTTGTCACTCTCTTGGCCACCACTGCGACATACATCCCCACACCCCCACCTCTGCACACAATACAGGGAAAGTGGCCAGCCCCCCAAACCTCCAACACGTTAGTCGTGAGTCCAAGGCCAGAGGAAATAACAAGATCTGCACTGTGACTCAGCTTCACCAGGGATGAGTCAGGGGAGCAGGACCTGTACCCTCGCATACGGGTCTTCAGGGCGCTGCTGGGAGCGCAGGGCTGAGCTCTAAAGCCCGGGGTCTAATTGAGCTCCTCAAAACAGGGCAGTCTCTGAGGGGGAGATCAGTCTCATTGGCTTTGAGGCAAGAGGATTAAGGTGGGAGGGGCAGGAAGGTGGCTGAAGAAAAGTGGGGGCTGTGGCTGTAGAGGGTAAGGATGAGAGAGGCTCGAGGCAGATCAGTAGCCAGTCAGGCATCTAGTGAGGGAAGGCGGGTAATGGAAAGGAGTTAAAAGAGGAAAGAGAAAGCAGAGCACATGGTTCTAAAAAATGTAGATATGTCCAGCAGTGCTCCTATCCCCTCTCCTGCACACTCAGCCCCTACTTGTTGCCCCACACGGCAGGCTTGGAGTACACAGGTGTCGGGAGGAAGCGGCTGGACTTCATGTAGGCAGAGATCTTCTTCAGACCCTCAAAGCAGACCAAGAAGTCCTTCAGGTTTGGGAACGCATCCAGGCACTTGGGCTCGAACATACACAGTGTATCTAGGATGTCATAAGCCAGGAAGTCCACATACATGAGCTTGTCCCCTGCAAACCAAGACCTCTTCCCCAGGAACTGGGAGAACAGCTTCATCTCTTCAGAGAGCATGGTCAAAATGTCAGGCTTCAGTTTCTCAAAGTCAGGGCTGTAGCAGATCCGGGCCGTGTACATTCGGATGTCCATAATCTCGTTCTCCAAAATGTCCATGCGAATCTTCTCCTCCTCCATCTCTCCACACAGGTTGTGCTTGCGTGCGATGTAGCGAGGGATGGCGTTGCTCTGGGTGAGCTTTTGAGTCCCGTCAATTAGGTAGGGCAGACTGGGGAAGTCCAGGCCCAGCTTGAACTTGTCGCTTAGCCACTGGCTTCTGTCAAAGTCTGGAGCATCCCCCATTGTGTACCTCTTCTCTTCATAGCTGGAGTCTGTGTATTCCAGGAGCAGGTGGATGGCGTGAGCCAGCCCACGGATGTTCCAGTAATCCAAACTCATGGCCATGATCAGCGTTTTGTGGCTTCAGGGCACAACAGCCAAGCCTGGTTCTAAGTTCATCCAGGGCCTGTGTAGGGCGCAAAGGAGCCTCGCAAACATTTTTTATTTTAAGAGTTTTACTGAGGTGCAATTAATATGTAATAAATTGAGGATATTTAGAGTGCACAATTTGATGTTTCAGTGAAATATATATGTATATATATTCAATGAAACCATCATGTCAATCAATGTAATGAATATATTAATCACCACTTAAAATTTCCCTTTGACTCTTTGTAATCCCTCCCACCTACCCTTTCCCCCCTGCCCACACCCCCATACAACCACTGCTCTTCTTTTCATCAGTATAAATTAATTTGCACTTTTTATATCTTTATATAAACTGTGTCATGCAGTATATAGTCTTTTTAAGGGGGGACACGTGGTCTGGCTTCTTTACTCAGCACACTTTGAGATTCATCCATGATGTTGTATCAGTAGATCACTCATTTTTATTGCTGATTAGAATTACATTGTATCATAATTTGTTCATCCATTCACTTGTTGATAGGCTTTTGTATTGTTTCCAGTTTGAGACCATTAAACATAAAATGACTATAACTTTACAATTGTTTTTGGCAACTACATCTTAGCGTTGACCCACATTGAGTTTGCTGTCAACTAAAACCCAATTCTCTTTAACATGCAAATTCTGTCCCATCCCGTAATGGAAAAAAAAAAAAAAAAACACAAAACCCTTTGAGAAGATACTGGGACAGTGCTTCAGTGTTTTTGTGGCTATCAATAGATGACTTCCCAAACCTACTTTTTTTTCCTGTGTTCTTTTTAAAATATTTTATTGTGTATGCTATTACAGTTACCCTACTTCCCCCCCTTGGCCCCCCTCCACCCAGCCCAGCCTTCACTTCCATAATCAGTCCCTTTACTGTTGTCCATGTCCACAAGTCCTTCTTTATGTTCTTTGACTAATCCCTTCACCTTCTTTTAATCAGTCTTCACCTCCCCTCTCCCCTCTTACAGCTGTCAGTCTGTTCCATGAGTCTATGACTCTGATTCTATTTTGCTCACTAGTTTATTTTGTTCATTATATTCCTCTTATAAGTGAGATCATATGGTATTTGTCTTTCGCTGACTGGCTTATTTCATTTAGCATAATGCTCTCCAGTTCCATCCATACTGTCACAAAGGGTAGGAGTTCCTTCTTTTCTGCTGTGTAGTATTCCATTGTGTAGATGTACCACAGCTTTTTTATCCACTAATCTACTGATGGGCACCTAGGCTGCTTTCAGATCTTGGCTATTGTATTGTGTTGCCCAAAAAATTCATTTGTTTTTTTCCGTAATGTGGCTCTAGTAGTGCTTAGTGGTCTTTAACTTCATTTGCAACAATTTTGTTGGAATGTGTTGCAACAGCCGTCATATCAGTGTGCTTATCAAAATTCATGAATTTTTGTGTAGCCGTTTTAATATTGAAGATGGAAGAAAATATGCAACATTTTTGGTGTATTATACTTTATTTTTCAAGAAAGGTGAAAACACAACTGAAATGCAAAAAATATAAATAAGATTTGTTCAGTGTATGGAGAAGGTACTGTGACTCATCAAACATGTCAAAAGTGGTTTGCAAAGTTTTGTGCTGGAGATTTCTCACTGGAAAATGATGCTTCATGGTTGGGAGAACAGTTGAAGTTGATAGCGATCAAACTGAGGTATTAATTGAGAACAATCAACATTATACCACAGGGGAGAAAGCCGACATACTCAAAATACCCAAATCAATAAAGATATTGGTGAAAATGAAAAAATGTATCTTTTTTTTATGGAAAAAACTAAACAAAACTTTTTTGCCAACCCAATAAATTGCACTGCTATGAACATTGGAGTGCATAGGTTCTTCTGAGTTGGTGATTCAGGATTCTTAGGATATACTCTGAGCAGTGGAATTGCTGGGTGAGAAGGCAGTTCCATTTTTAGTTTTTTGAGGAAATGTCATACTGTTTCCCACAGTGGCTGCATCAGTCTGCATTCACATCAAGAGTACATGAGGGTTCCCTTTTCTCCAAATCTCTGCCAACATTTGTCGTTTGTTGATTTATAAATGATGGCCATTCTGACAGGTGTGAGTGATATCTCATTGTGGTTTTAATTGCCATTTCTCTGATGGCTAGTGATGCTGAGCATCCTTTGATATGTCTATTGGCCATCTGTATGTCCTCCTTGGAGAAGTGCCTATTCAGGTCCATTGCCCATTTTTTAGTTGGATTGTTTGTCTTCCTGGTGTTGAGTCAGATGAGTTCTTTATATATTTTGGAGATTAAACTCTTGTCCATTGTATCATTGGCAAGTATGTTCTCCCATACAGCTGGTTCTCTTTTCATTTTGATGATGGTTTCTTTAGCTTTTAAAATTTGATGTAGTCCTATGTGTTTATTTTTCCTTTATTTTCCTTGCCGTAGGAGATATATCTTTAAAAATATTGCTATGTGAGATATCTGGACTTTTACTGTCTATGTTTTCCTCTAGGATTTTTGTGGCATCATGACTTATATTTATGTCTTTTGTCCATTTTGAGTTTATTCTTGTGTATGGTGTAAGTTGCTGGCCTAGTTTCATATTTTTTTGCATGTACCAATCCAATTCTCCCAACAGTATTTATTGAAGAGACTGTCTTTACTCCATTGTATGCTCTTGCCTTCTTTGTCAAATATTAATTGACCATAAAGACATGGGTTTTCCTATGCTCTTATTTTTTCCATGGATCCATGGACCTGGGCAACTGTGCTCTTGATTTTTATTAACGATGTCACCATCTACTTGGGCTAGATCCTAAAAAACAACACTCAGAGTATATAACATATAAATGTAATTATTTATATAGGATTCTATATACACACAGATATTTGTGTCTTAAATGTCAGAGGATGCTACATACTAGATTCTTTTTTATGGGAGAATATTTTTATCTGCCCCCCCCCCAAAAAAAAATCAGTGTTGAAAGTGATCACAATTCCCAAGCCAAAGGTGGAAAGGGGAGAGAAAGAAGAATCCAGATAGATACCAGAATAACATGGATATTTGGAACAAAGCAAGAAAAAATGGCTATGGGGTAACTCCCAGCTCTGGAAGTTTCTTCAGGTGCCCCCCTCCATCCCTCCAACACCCAGCTAGCTCCTCTGACTATGGCCAACTTGTAGCACACCCTCATCACCATCAAGGATGGCATGCAATGAAGCCGAGTGGGCAACATCCTCAACCGCTTTAAACAGAAGGCATTTGGTCTTGTGGTCATGAAGTGTCTTCAGGCCTCTCAGGTACGCCTGAAGTGGTACTACATTGACCTGAAAGACTACCTATTCTACCCCAAGCTGGTGAAATACATGAATGTGAAGTACATTAACTCAGGGTCTGCTGTTGACTTGGTCTGGGAGGGGCTGAATGTGGGAAAGACGAAGAGAATGATGCTTGGGGAGACCAATCTAGCAGATTCTAGACCAGGTACCATTCGGGGAGACTTTTGCATTCAAGTTGACAGGAACATCATTCACAGCAGTAATTCAGTAAGAAGTGCTGAACAATTTACAATAGCCAAGTGTTGGAAGCAACCTAAATGCCCATCAGTGGATGATTGGATCAAAAAATTATGGTACATTTACACAATGGAATACTATGCAGCAGAAAAAAAAGAACTACTACACTTCGCGACAGCATGGATGGAACTAGAGAGCATTATGCTAAGCGAAATAAGCCAGGGGGCGAAAGACAAATACCATATGATCTCACCTATAAGCGGAACCTAACCAACAAAACAAAGATGCAAGGAAAATAAGACCAGCAACACTGAAAGAAAAAGAAACCAACAGAAACAAGATGGAAGGAGGGAGGGGTGGGCGGGGAAAAAGGAAGGGAAGGGGCAAGTCAAGGAACATATAGCAAGGACTCATGGACAAAGCCAAAGTGGGGAAGGATTGAGGGAGGGGGAGAGGGGAGGGGGCAGGGGAAAGTGGTGGGGGGAAGGCGGAGACAAATGTATCTGGAAAAATAAATTAATTAATTAAATAAAAAATAAAAGAAGTGCTGAGAGAGAAATCAGACCATGGTTTAAACCCAAAGAATTCATTGACTACAAGGCTTGTTCTTTTGACTGGATCTGTGAACAAGGGTTGGGCAAAGCATCAGTCACCTTCTGCTCTACTTGGATGTGTCCCTAGACACAGCTCTTCATTCCATTGACTTGGAAGCAATAAGATCAATCTTTCTTTTCTATAGCATATTTACCAATAAAGCCTTTGGAAACTAAAAAAAAAAAAAAAAAAAAAGGCTATAAATATTCTTGTACAAATCTTTGTGTGAAAATATGCTTTAATTTTTCTAGGGTAAATTCCTAGGAGAATGGTTCAATCACATGGCAAATATATATTTAACGTTTTAAAATTAAATTTATTGTAATGACATCAGTTAATAAAACTACATAGCTTTCAGGTGTACAATTCTTTCCCCCTTTAAAAAATTTTTTAAAAAGATTTTATTTATTTTTAGAGAGAGGAAGGGAGAGAGAGAAACATCAATGTGTGGCTGCCTCTCACATGTCCCCCACAGGGGACCTGGCTCGCAACCCAGGCATATGGCCCGACTGGGAATTGAACCAGTGACCTTCTGGTTCGCAGGCCAGTGCTCAATTCACTGAGCCACACTAGCTGGGGCTGTGTCTATGAGGGTTTTCTTGTCTTGTTTGTTTATTTGTTGCTTATTTGTTGCTTTCAGTTTCATATTCCACATATGAGTGAAATCATATGGTTCTTGAATTTTTCTGTATGACTTATTTCACTTAGCATGATATTCTCAAGATCCATCCATGTTGTCGCAAATGGCATTGTTTACTTTTTCTTATGGCTGAGTAGTATTCCATTGTATATCTGTACCACATAACTATGCAATCATCTACTGAGGGACACTTTGGTTGTTTCCATATCTTGGCCACTGTGAATAATGCTGTAATGAACATAGGGGTTCAATTAT